CATGTTTAGGCCTCAGGGGCAGCTGACTCCTGAGTTACAGTATTTTATTTGCTTTAGCTGTTCCTGACCATCAGTTTGTTGTTTATTGTTGTTATTGTGGTTTTTAATGTTTATGGTCGAATAAATAAATGAAATAAAATGAATTTCATGCATTTTTTGCGACATCTGTTTTTATCTTTTTATATATTTCTTGAAGTTTCTGTGATTTGTATGTTCAATTTGACCAAATTAATGAATGAATGAAAAACTTGTGCTTGCAATACTTGGTAAACTAGAACATTTCAATGTATAGACATGCTTCAATAAATATGAATTTATCAATTAATAAAAAAAAAAACTAAACTAAACTTTAAATTAATGTTTCAATAAAACTTGCCATATTTCTTTCAGATATTACATGGTTTTGATGCCTTTTATGTGCTTTGTCATGCCCAGTCTATTGCCAACAGTATGGGGAGAAACCCTCTGGAATGGGTTTTTTATTGGTGCAATTTTACGTTATGTGGTGTCTTTAAATTTCACATGGCTTGTCAACAGTGCAGCTCACATGTGGGGGAATAAACCTTATGACATGTAAGTGGAGCTGATGATGAGCCAACGGCCAACCATTCTTTATTTAAGGAGTAGGTTTTTTGTTTTATTGGGCAACATTTTTTTTATTAGCACTATCAATAATAATAATAATAATAATAATAATAATAATAATAATAATAATAATAATAATAATAATAATAATATAGGTTTTTAATATAAAGTATCAAGGAGCTCAATTACCAAGCGCATAGAGGCTTTTTTTGCATAATGAGCTATACAAATTCAACTATTATTATTGTTATTATTATTATTATTATCATTATTATTATTATTATTATTATTATTATTATTACAATCATGGGTCATGTCATGGGGCCTGGCGTATCATAATGGTCATTTTACCTGATCTTATCATTATTGGCCATTATCCATGTTATTAGTATGGCCATGTTAATTAACATATAAATCAGTGACTAAAGCATGTCCATTTATTATCTTATCTTCCTCGATATGTAATATATATATATATATATATATATATATATATATTATATCACATCACATTACATTACACCATATCGTATCACATTACACTATATTATATTATATTATATTATATTATAATTTCTTGCAGACACATTAATCCAGTTCAAAACACGTTCGTGTCAGTGGTAACAAATGGCGAAGGCTGGCACAATTACCATCACACCTTTCCCCAAGACTATCGAGCCGGAGAGTTTGGATGGCGTCTAAACACTACTACAATATTCCTTGATGCAATGGCTGCACTGGGCCTAGCTTACGATCTAAAAGCAATAGGCCCCGCAGTAATACAGGCAAGAAGGAAGCGGACTGGCGATCTAAGTTTACAAAAAATCCCGGATAAACTTCATTGAGATTTCTCTTGGTATTTTCCGTCGATACATTGAAAAAGTCGAAAAGACTGGAGTCAATATCGACCTTCTGATAGGCCTAGGCTTATCTATTTCCACTTTTACAAATCATCACATGTAAAACGTAAATAATTATAATTTTGAATTTGCAGATGAGATTAATAAAGTTTTGTAATTTGTGTTTTTCTGTGACCACGTGCTTCCTGTCATTTGTCTGCTTGTTATCATTTAAACTCACATGTTTGCCTTTTGGATTGATATGAGCTTTGTGAAAAATAAATAAATAAATAGTTTATACATGAATAGACGATTCCACTCCTTTAATAAGCATTACTTAGTTCCATTATGTAAATGATTACGAAATTCTGTTTCTATTACATAATATGTGACAAAAAAAAATATAACATTAGAGATGGAAAATTTCATCATTGGCTATAAAGTAATGTTCAGTTATTAATGGGGTGAAATTTATTTGATTATTATTATCTTAACCACTGATGTGTATTATAATCGCTGGGTTGCTCGTTGGCTGGTTGTAGAGAAGCACTGACGCCATTTCGGGGAGCCCGGAAACGTCATCGCAGCGCAAATCATCTGAGACGAACACCAACAACGCGACATCGCTTGCGTTAAACAGACTCATTGAGTTATTAGATGATGTAAAAAAAAAAACATTTCGTAGAATTTTAATTTGATATTAGGCTAATAATTAATGCAAGAATCGTCATTTTTAACAATAATTTAAACAAATGCAAACAAAAATTTGTCCAGACTGGAACGTCACTTGGGCTATTGTATATGGCGCCGGCGGTTTCAATTTTTTTTTTTACAGTGAATGGGCAATGATCAATCCAGTCATTATAGTATACATCAGTGGTCTTTACAGGAACCTCTAGTCCGTAAAAACGTTGCCGTTATTTTAAATCCTAGAAAACAAGATAAACTGAAAAACGAAGTCTTTGAATGCCTGTTTATACTTACAACGATTACGATAAGGATAAAAAGTTAAAAAGCAATTGTTCATATAGTATATATGATTGCTGTAAATTGAGTAGAAAGAGACACGCTGTAGTTTAAAGGCAATATAATTCAATAATTAATATTGTCATAAGGTTTCAATTGGAAATTAACGTTCTTTATGTGGGGTAAGTAAAAGGTATACCGTATAAATTAAGGTGATAAACCTTGTTATCAAATGCAATATATAATTTCTTACAATCAACGTTTAAAGTCCCATTCCCGGCAAAAATTCACTAAAAACAGATTTTTTTTAATAGAAAAAATGCATAATTATGCATTGCTCTAGGAATTATTATAAATCATAGAAAAATATTGGCATAAATTTTAGTTTACGCAAAAGAATTTAAAAAAATTAGAAATACAGATTATTTCTCATAGAATATACCATTTTCTCGACGAATTCTTCGTTACTTGGCAAATTCAGAGGTTGTAGATCGCATCCGCTGGAATGCTGTCGCTTTTATGCTTTTATGTATACGTTATACACACAATAATGTGCGCCCTCTCTAATGGGATTAGTTTTTGTACTTCGCATCTCCACAATGCGGTCGTTCGAGTAGGCCTGCGCCTGAGATACGTTTGTTCAAATGTCAAAATCTCGGTCAGAATCAGTTTTATAACAAATTTGAAATAATTTCTATGAAATATTATATTTCACAAGTGTCAATACTAGCAACGGAAAATATCATGTCGGCCGTTTTTATGTGTGACAACAGAACCTAAATCGAGGTAAGGTTAGGCTTAACCTAGCAGTGTTGAATAGGCTAATGTTTTCGGCCCATAATATATTTCTTCGCAGACCTATCGCAGAATCAAACATGAAAAATTCATCCGCATTTAAATTTCAGTCTTATATTACATTTTTTTTCATGTTTAGGAATGTCTAAATTCAGTTAAACCAGCAATTCCGTATTATATTTTAAAACCTTTATAACATTAGGCCTATACAAAAATCAGATTTTTCTTAACAACTAAAATTTTGCCGGGAATGGGGCTTTATTAAGTAAGAAATTATTATCTTCTAACTGAAAATTTGAACAACGCAATGTTGTCTTGCCAGTAGCGAATGTGTACAACAAGTATGGATTTTATGATTGTGTATAATACATATCCTGTTTCGTTGTAAAGAAATCATAAAGATCTGAATTTTTTTTTTTATCTGTTGTGACTCAACTGAAAGTTGATAACTTACCGTATGTAATATATTTAAATAGGCAGTTAAATTTGTTTAATTTTCAGGGTTTTTTTCATTTGGTTTTTGAGAGCAGTGGGGGTGCATAGTATATATTTAAATTTGAGGATTTTAAAATCAGCATCAATTTGGAAGTCCTGTGTATCATTTATTATTGATTTGATCCATGTCAAAAATACGTTTTCAGATTTCTACCAAAGGCTATCGTCAGAGGAAGTTGAAATATCCAATTTTGTTTGATAATTGTTATCGTTAATTGTTGGTGTAATGTCTGACTCAGAGTCATTTTGATAATGAATACAGTAGTGGTCAACATATGGCCTGCAAGATATGATGGTCAAATTGATAAATTTGGACAAGATGATGTCTGTTCCTGGTACATCACGTATAACGATTGGTATTGACTTCTTCCTGTATTATTTTTTAAGAATTTAGCAAATTGATAAAATTATTATAAAAATGATGGACGATCCAGTCACTCTGACATCACTGTCCACTTCAGGGTTAAGTCGATTTTTACAAGGCTTATAGCTAGGTCTATGTACCGGTAACCATTGAGGTATGTTATAACCATTACTCTAAGAGTATTATTTTAAGGTACCGGTAGTGATTTTGGTATTTTGATCAGGGGGAATTGTCAGCAGTAGTCCCTGGCGTTTCTATTTCGGCTACATTTTCCACAGAATATAATAATAGACATTAGGTATATTAACAGATCGTGATTGTGATTTTTTCCCCCAAGAAATAATAATAAAAGAAATAAAAATAAAGAATAAGGAATATAATTTAAAAAAAAAGGAAAGAAAGGAGAAAAGGGAAAAAAGATCGAAACATTAAGTGACAATGTAAACAAGAAAATCAAATGAAAAGAAAGAGAAATGAAAGGAAAATAAAAAAGAGTAAAGTAAACAATAAAAAAAAAATTCAACCGTAAGTTCATTATTTATAAGGTAAGGATAAATATCTGCTAAATATGCATAGGCCTAATAGTAAAAGTTATCTACAGTATTTAAGTAAACATACAAAATCATTACATGTGAATGACTTATAACCAAGAGCTTATGTGTACACACAGGCCTATAATACCTTGTTATAATTGATTTATTTTTAGAGGCTAAATGTATTATTATTAACTAAATTTATCTACTCCGCAACCGCATTTGTTACTAACTTTGATTTTCAATCACATAATTTTGAAAATGACCTCAAACGACATAATGACCGATAAGCCGAATCAATTTGCTTAGCCTGTTTATACCGGATTAGCCAAAGGTTTCTAATTTTTGGTAGCTAAATTTAGTTCTCTAATTATATAGTTTGGTATCAGTACGCCTATGTAAATATCACGCCCCGTTCCATTCCTATAAACGTCTTGGTTTGGGCAAAAATTTACTTATCAGGAAAGCGACCGTTACGGGCACAAGAACATAGGTTTCTGAGGTCTCGAGTCAGTTATCTTCCAATTTTCAATACCATCATTATTTTTAATTAAATCAACATTTTACTTTCAACGATGAGCCCGCGGCCAAATGAAGTGATTTCTCTTCCTAAAGTAGTTGCGGCTAAAGTTCAGCATATTAAAGAAGAAACATTACAACTATCTGTAGAAAATGAAGAGGTCGCGCCACGCGACTATGATATTGTTTGGAAAAACGTGATAATGGTAACAATGTTTCACATTGGTGCAGTGTATGCTCTGGTGTTTGTGGTCTGGCAATGTCAGCTAATGACGTTGATGTGGGGTAAGTTTATTATTGTGTTGATCTAAAAAAAAACTGAAAAGTGGCGGATTCACGAGGACAGCCGGTCCTGCACCCCCACCCATACCCTACATTTTTGAAAATTAAAAAAATGGAGAAAAAAGTCTGAGTTCAATTTTCGCCAAGCCCCTCATCTAGAGGTGCACATAATCATAAATTTTCTTGTCTTAGCCTCAACCATGTTGGGGCTGAAATGGTATAGGTCCACCATCTGTGAAAGTCCCTTACTGGGCCCCTCTACTCCAGATTTCTAGATCCACAGCTGGAACGATTAAATTAAATAATTTTGTATCTCACCTATTTAAGTAGCCTACTAACTTACAATAAAAAGTTTGATGAAACAATGCTTTGAAAATTGATAGAAAAATATATAGTAATAATTACCTTTGAAGTATTACTATACATAGATCCTTGAATTTGCTGGTGACCAATTTAAAGATTTTGTTTCTGGTTGGAAGTTAATAATTTATTGATCATTGATCAGGAGCTCTTAGCTTTAAGTGATTGAATTTTTTAGGGGTTTTTTTTCTGAATTTATTGGCAGACAATTTTTTTTTCCGCCGACTGTTAGTCGTCCATCGTCGTGAATCGCGTCGGGCTGCCGATGCCGATTCAAGTGTGCGTCAGGCTTTACTGAAAACCAATAAGTGTGGATCGATTCAGAAGTTGATACTTAAATAAATTTTGTTATCCATTCACAGGCACATTTCTATGGTTTTGGACTGAGGTCGGAGTAACAGCAGGTTCGCATAGACTATGGGCGCATCGCAGTTATAAGGCCAAGTGGCCCTTGCGATTAATGTTGGCAGTACTTACACTTATTGCTCACCAGGTAGGCCTACTAAGATGCATAATACTGAATACTTTATACAGTATAACATATATATATATATATATACATACATATATATCCTTATATACAATTTCTTATATGTATATATATATATATATATATACATATACATATATATTGAAATGAAAAGAAAATTAGAAAAGACATTTTTACAACGTTATGATTAATATTTCATATTTCAGAATAGTGCATATGAGTGGTCACGTGATCATCGTGTCCATCATAAATTCTCAGAGACTGACGCCGATCCCCACAATGCAAAGCGTGGATTTTTCTTCTCGCACGTTGGTTGGCTAATGGTAAAGAAACACCCAGATGTGATCAAAAACGGTCAGAAAATAGATCTTGGAGACCTAATGATTGATCCTATCGTCAGATACCAACACAAGTAAGAAAGTGATTTTGTTAGTCTACTATAGGCCTAGGCTATACTAGATCTGTCGTACGAGATATACGAGTTTACTAGTGTTGATGTCAGAGTCAG